GACCTCCCATACACATAAAAATAGCAACACGAAGTAACACCGCCACGACTACCAGTATGTAGCGCATAGTGCTTCTTGTATATAGTCTGGAAGTTAATTTAAGGTACCGACGTTTACTACAATATCTGAAAAACTATTGGACCTACTCCAGTCAAAGTTGGTATGAGATTATTATACAGTCATACATAACTGGATATTACATTTAAAGACAATCGGTGCATGAATAAAAAATCTGTCTATTTAGCTATCACTATATTTCATCAACAACCAGACCTGTTCGTCGTGGGTGGAACGAGCATTCATTGTGCAGGATAATATACACAAAGAAAAAAATTAAGCATACCCTAATATATTTCATTATTATTTGGTCGCAATATTTGTGACAGTCATGAAAGATATAATTACGGGAAGAATTATGTTTTCTCGAGATGATGTAATAAGTCATGCGTGACGAAAGCTAACATGCCATGCATGGTATGCCCGTGCAGCATGCAACCCCCGAGTATCTCTAAAAGCAGTATATCCAAACGTTAATATTGCTTTCTTAAGCTCGGTTTTCAACAGTTATTCCATGACATTGTGTGACCATGGCACGAAGGCGATTATCAAACGCCACAAGATGGCAAATAATCGGTATGCATAACGCAGGAATGTCTTGTAATGCCATTGGTCGGAATTTGGGGTATCATCACACTATCGTAAGCCGTTTAGTCGAGAAACATGATCAGACCGGTGATGTACAGATGTCCCAGATCCGGAAGACCTCATGTAACGACACGTCGTGAAGAAAGGGATCATCTTCGTCTCATACACCGAGAACCCTTTTCAACAAGTACTCGTCTGAAACAGCTGTGCTTGCCCAATCGTCGTTTCAGCACCAGAACCGTAGGGAACCGTCTGACAGCAGCAGGACTGAGGGCCAGACGAGTCATAAAGCGTCCCTTGTTGAGAGATCATCACAAAGCTGCTCGTTTACCTTGGTGTATTGCACGACAGAACTTGAATCGTTCACTTGGAGACGGGTCCATTGATCAGACGAAAGTCGCTTTCTGCTCCATGCCACTGATTGAAGAACGATAGTTTGGAGGCACTGGAACACGGCCCACACTCCCGGGAAAATTAAACCGACTGTTGCATACGGCGGGGGCTCGGTAATGGTTTGGGGGTGTATCTCTCATGATTGCAGGTTGGATTTGGTCACCGTAAGGGGCAACTTAACAGGGGCTCAATACGTCCAGGACGTTTGGAGGCCAGTCGTCCTTCCTCATTTTGACAACTACCTTCTTGCTACTCGACCTCAGTACATGGATAACAATGCCAGGCCTCATCGTTCGCATGCAGTCGTGGATTACATGAGGGCCAATGCAATAACGACTCTACCCTGGCCAGCAATGAGCCCATATTTCAACCTCCTTGAACATGTTTGGGTTATTCTGGGGCGTCGCGAGATCCCCCTGTACAAGATTTACGCCAATTGGAAGCAGCATTGCATCAGACGTTGTTGTTGTTGACTCATCAACAGATCCAACGTCTGACTGGAGGCATGAGACGTTGGGTGGAATGCGTCATCCACGTGGCGGTTATACCCGCTACTGATCTGTTTCACATGATATGTCAAGTAGAGACTTTAAGGAACATTTTCACATGAAATATAAAACGTAACTCGTTTACTTAATCCTGCAGCTCCATATTTGTTTTAGGTATTGTCTAAGGTCAAAAACAGTACCTGTGTTACCATAATGTTGTTGTCAGTATATTTTAATCACAACTCACCAATATTTTCTGTATTTGTTGTCAAATGTTTGTTCTATCCGTTGACATTGGTATCGCCCAGCTCCTGTGGTCAGTCATCCCATGCCATGATTTTTGCCATTTGTCATGGTTCAGAAATAGGGGTGTGCTTAACTTTTTTATTTGTGTATATGTAGTATTCTGCTGTTACGCTAGCATCTGACTATTTATCATACAATAAGCTTTAGCCTCCCTGCTTCTATAATTGCAAGCAATATCAGAGACGAATTATCGTTATATTGTCTCTGGCAATATATACCAAATATTATATATATTTGTAGGTTATATTGATCACGAAACGGACAGTAATATCTACGTGTGGCTGTTTCTTCAACATTCCCTTTTCTAATAGTTTTACAGTCGCGTTGTCTTAGATCAGTTACGTGCTGTAGCCAATCCGCGGAGTCGCGTGAGCGTAGAATGGCAACTTTTGAGCAAGTTGAAAACAATCTGCGTAGAACTCTTCCATTAGAATTCAATGCTTCCATTCAATGCTTCCATTCAATGCTTCCACGTGCACCGCGCCAAACTCAGACCCGTAATCCAACACGCCAGAGCAAGCTGAGGTTCGATTGACAATGTCAATCAAGCAAAGGGAGGAGCTTGATGAAATTGTTCTCTCACAGTAAATTCAGATTTCAAATAACGACAGATTCTCAACGGGAAAACGATGATTAGAAAGCATACAAAAAAGTCGTTTTTCCGTTCAATGTCCATCTACGGAAAAACGAAGTTTTCATGTTTGCAGTGTATATATATATATATATATATATATATATATATATATATATATATATATGTTACAGGAAACAAGTATAATCAGTGATTAAGTCTAATGACTGAAAATTTCAGTGATTATGTCTCATAACTGATTCACTCGGTGGTTATGTCTAATTACAGAAATCTTCAGTAATTAGACATAATCACTGAAATGAACCAAGGGATTTTATACTTGTTTACTGAAAGCATATTCCTGCCTTGTTTTTATAATGTGTGCTAGCTATCAAAGTAAACACAACCTCCTGTAACCAGATACCTTACACAAAAATCACAGAAATAAGCTTAAACAGTTTAATCTTTTATTTCATAAAATGGCATGACGTGAATGGTATGACAAATAGCAGTCAGATGGACACTCAGGAATGTTTGTTTGCACATGAAAGACTTGAATGACATCTAGACTTACATTGCATCTGGGCCTTAAAACATTTGCAGCGATTGGTCTGACACCGTTTAGTTCCAACACAATTACACCTTACAAAGCCTTGACCACCACAGACTGAGTCAAGTTGAACCGCTTGACGCAAAGAAAGTGTTCAATCGGTATTGAAATCGTCAGCATTATACAGTTTGGTTTGGTTCAGTAATTAGACATAACCACCGAGTGAATCAGTTATTAGACATAATCACTGAAATTTCCAGTTATTAGACTTAATCACTGATTATACTTGTTTCCTGTAACATATGTTTTGATTTCTATGGACAACTAGGGAAGTCGCGTGAGCTTGTAACCACCGAGTGAATCAGTTATTAGACATAATCACTGAAATTTCCAGTTATTAGACTTAATCACTGATTATACTTGTTTCCTGTAACATATGTTTTGATTTCTATGGACAACTAGCGAAGCCTTCTCAAATGTTGTTACAACACATGATTCTGTTTGTTTACAGGAGATTGGCTTAGGACAGGATTATGAAGCCTTCTCACAAGTTATTATAAAAATGCAGGGATATGCTTTCAGTAAACAAGTATAAAATCCCTTGGTTCCTTTCAGTGATTATGTCTAATTACTGAAGATTTCAGTAGTTAGACATAACCATCGAGTGAATCAGTTATTAGACATAATCACTGAAATTTCCAGTTATTAGACTTAATCACTGATTATACTTGTTTCCTGTAACATATAATTGGATTTCTATGGACAACTAGCGAAGTCGCGTGAGCTTGTAACCACCGAGTGAATCATTTATTAGACATAATCACTGAAATTTCCAGTTATTAGACTTAATCACTGATTATACTTGTTTCCTGTAACATATGTTTTGATTTCTATGGACAACTAGCGAAGCCTTCTCAAATGTTGTTACAACACATGATTCTGTTTGTTTACAGGAGATTGGCTTAGGACAGGATTATGAAGCCTTCTCACAAGTTATTATAAAAATGCAGGGATATGCTTTCAGTAAACAAGTATAAAATCCCTTGGTTCCTTTCAGTGATTATGTCTAATTACTGAAGATTTCAGTAGTTAGACATCACCACCGAGTGAATCAGTTATTAGACATAATCACTGAAATTTCCAGTTATTAGACTTAATCACTGATTATACTTGTTTCCTGTAACATATAATTGGATTTCTATGGACAACTAGCGAAGTCGCGTGAGCTTGTAACCACCGAGTGAATCAGTTATTAGACATAATCACTGAAATTTCCAGTTATTAGACTTAATCACTGATTATACTTGTTTCCTGTAACATATGTTTTGATTTCTATGGACAACTAGCGAAGCCTTCTCAAATGTTGTTACAACACATGATTCTGTTTGTTTACAGGAGATTGGCTTAGGACAGGATTATGAAGCCTTCTCACAAGTTATTATAAAAATGCAGGGATATGCTTTCAGTAAACAAGTATAAAATCCCTTGGTTCCTTTCAGTGATTATGTCTAATTACTGAAGATTTCAGTAATTAGACATAACCACCGAGTGAATCAGTTATAAGACATAATCACTGAAATTTCCAGTTATTAGACTTAATTACTGATTATACTTGTTTCCTGTAACATATATATATATATATATATATATATATATATATATATATATATATGTGTGTGTGTGTGTGTGTGTGTGTGTGTGTGTGTGTGTGTGTGTGTGTGCGTGTTCCATTGGTTGCTTATTTAATGTTATATATATATGTCACCCAAAGGTTGTTTATTTTATATGCCGTATTTGACCTCATAGGCGCTTATTAGAGCAGGGCACTATATATATATTCAGATTCTCTCAACTTGCAGGTGATTTTATCTTTTCTTTTTTCAGAATACTTGCGCTCATCAATATTTCCAAATTCTGTTTGACAATTCTATGCACAGAGTTAATCCTGTGAAGGTGATTGAAAGAACGTATCAGTTTATGGTTTCCAAATACATATAATCACATTATAACAAATAGTATTGTTCAATCAGTTGGGCCATATACTCACGTATTACATCAAGCACCTGTCCGCAGTCAGACATCTGATCCCCTCTAGAGCCTGGTGAACCCCTGTAACAACTGTAGACACCACGGTCAGAATTCCAGACAACATCATACAGCAGGAAACTGAACACACCAGATCCTGACGAGTCAATGTTCCCAGTAAACTCTGCTCTTGTCCTGTACGTGCTAGTGATGTCCACCTTGTTATAGTTGGTCACATGGAACAGAGTAATGTCTGATGAATAACGTCTCACTGTAAACTCCCTGACAGCAGGCTGGGGTAGTCTCCAGGACAAGGTTGCATTACTTCCTTGACGAGCATATACCACTGCAGCAGCTGAAACACAACACACCGTCTGTACTGTTGGGAAGTGGTTAATCAACCAACTGAAATTAATTGGTTCGTCTCAATTTGATGTTTTTCAATGTAACTTTCAGTGATACTAGATCACAACTGTTACAAAAACCACACACAATATTTTTTAACATAGACACTTTCTCACAATTTCCGTCAAGTTGTTGAGAGAGATGTAAAATTGTTCGGCTTGATGATGGCAAATTGCATTCGATTTCTTGGTCGTTTTGAACCTTCTATCAATCGTATTATTTCATCTAATCAGAACACATCTTATCCTGTTCAGTTTCTTGTTTCTTTCTGTGACCATAGCTATCCAACCGTGAATGTTTAGAATGGCACACAACTCTTAACTCCCCTCTTTTGTTAGAAATCCCAAAGCGTACTGGTGTTAAATTACGCTGATTGTGGGGCCATTGAGGCTTAATTCATTTTCATTCGCCATTAGAGTTAAACAGCAGGACAGGCAATAGCTATTGATATTTTATTTATTATAACTAAGCTTATATATTTTATGATCATATGAAAGTGGAGAGTGGTAAATGCAAAATGTGCACACTATTGACAGTACACAATGACATAGAAGAAAGATAATGGTATAATGTTGGTTGACTAAATACACTGGGTTTTTTTCATTAAGATTAGAAATTATTATTTCACAAGTGACATCTACCATACTATTCAAGATGTCTTGGTCTTATTTAGTTTTCATACATGAGACCGTTCGGGATCAATCCACTTTCAACAGGATTCACATAACAAATGAAAACAAAGCTTAATAGGAACAAAACTAGACTAAAAACGGACGGACGTAAGACATCGAAGGATATCCCAAGCATGAACAAATCTAACAAATGATGACGTAAGAAAGGCGTTGGAGAATAGTGATACTTGTACTGAAAATCGGGAAAAACCGCCGTTTTCAAAAAGCTCTTCGTGTGCTTCAAAACATGCATTGTTTTATATCTATACGAAAAGAAGTAAACAGATCATAAATGTCTAAGAAGAAACAACTAATTTAGATTATTAAACTTCAACTATCAGGTGCCAAGGTGTCTCTTCTGATCATGATGTAGCAGTACTGCTTCAGTGATCCTGGTGACCTTGAGGTACCTCCAGTAGCCTTGAATTTTGCATTGTGGCCATATGTCCATATAAACCACCCTTTTGGGTTCAAATATAAACTACAAAATAGTTTCAACTTTAGAGACTAGCAAAAGTATGAGGGCACCTCTTAGGCGTATCCTTGATCCTTGTGGCGACAGACACCACGATGTAGCTTACATCCACCGACAATTGGGAAACATCTACATGGGGTAAATCACCCAGTTTGACTTGATATCGGCAGCTGTATTGAGGAACGCAAGTTGTCTTAACTTATTTTTCAGTATTATAGGATATCGTTTCAATAAGGACGTTGTACCCAGTTCATGGGATGAGAATGTAATTAACCCGATACCAAAAGCTAGTACGAAAGATTCATGTAACCCACTAGAATAAAGAGGTATTACACATATTTCAATCCCTTGTAAAATAAATGCAGATATATTAAACACTCGACTGTCTTGTTAGTTGGAGAGCAATACTATCTTTGCTGATAATCAAAATGGTTTCCCAAAAGAGAGAGATTGTACGGATCATCCATATGTTTTATCTACTGTAATCTAAAATAGAATAGCTTAAAAACAATCAAATTTTGTTAGTTTTGTGTAAAAAAAAGGCGTTTGGTACCATTACAAGAGAAAAGATGCGGTTCAAGCTGGGAAAAGTAGGTGTAAAAGGTAAAATATTGGACGCCATACAAGTTCTATATCGTAATGTAAATTGTTTTGTAAAATTGAATTGATATTTCACTGAATTTATCGAGGAGTAAAATACGGCTGTAAATTCTCCCCTTCTGTTTATCATGATTTGGTTGAATGTGTTAATAATCTCAATAGATGATATAATGTTATCTGTGTTGTTGTATGCTGCTGATGTCGCACTCATTGCTCCAGATGAAGCATCTCTACAGTCTCTGCTAAATGTCTTAAATGATTGGTGCAAACGTTGGCAATCAACTGTAAATGGCAGCAAGATAAATATTGTACACTTTCAAAGTGCTTCTGTGACACGACCAGAGTTCAATTCAGTTGTGGTGATGTCACATTACAGAATGTTGAAAGTTAAAGATATCTTGACTAATGGTTCATTTACTTTTTAGACAGAGGAAAGATTGTAAGGAAACACTAAAATCTGCCAGTCGCGCCTTATCATTGCTATTTAAGAAGTTTGATGTGGCAGGAGGTATGTCTAACTATGCATGTGTTAAGTACAAAAAGTTATCTTGTTGAACCAGTCATGTTTTATGGATCATCAATATGGGGTATAAACAAATTTATGCAAGTTAATATCACAGTAAACAGAGCATGTCTAAGGCGCCGCGATTCGCGGTGAAGAGTTGCGTCCCTTGGGCACGCAAGAAACCTATGATTGGGGGTTCTTACCCCGGTTCGCCCCGATTATGTTTCTAGGTTTGTCAGCACCTAACCGTGCTTGTGGGTTTCACTGAAGTGGTAAACGTCTGAGACCTGCATCACTTCGGGCTTTCCTCCCACATTAAGCTGACACGCCGTGATATAACTGTAATACTGTTAAAAGCGGCGTTAAACCCAACTCACTCACTCACTATTTCAAAGAAATTGGTGTGTATAATAAATTTTAAATATGTATGTGAATAATTAAATGCTTGTTTTCAAATTTTGCGTGATGCTACTATCAACTGACATTATTGAAGGCTCTGTCCAGGAGGTTAAAATACCGTAAAATTATTGTCCCCGTGTGTGACATGTAATCCTATTAAAATCGATGTAACTATCATCAACCAGTGTTTTTGAGCCAACTCATTGCTGAGTATTTTTTCATATTGGCTAATTTTGTGCACAACCACCAGATCCTAAAGTGATGACGTACATCCTGCTGGGATATCATGCAGGAAGCAGAGGTACTGTAAGTCCCCATGATCCCCAGCGAGGTGGCCTAGCTTTGGGTACTGGTGGCCTATAGCCCGTGTTTTAAAACTGTATACATGATATCATTATGCTCAAATATGTTTCATAAATTGTTTTAAATATAACTTTGCATAAATAACTAAATTCTGAATATATTAACTCCTCGCTATATGGCTGAAATAATGCTGATGCAACGATACATTTTAACTCACTCACTCACTCGACTATGACATTTTCGCTAACTCTTGTTAGGGGACAAAAATAATAAGTGCAGAGATCTTTAGAACTCCCAGCATGCATTAATAGGCCAATTCATCAGTTCAACAAAATATATACAAATATGCACACGTATATACAACACTGCAACATGCACAGTCTCATTCGCTTGTTTATGACTATAATTAGACTTATGGAGAAATAAATGTCTTTTGTGTAAGCTCTGACATTTTTATAATTTATATGATGTCTTACAGTAATCAGGTTTTTTTGTTTCATGTACACGCGGTACACTGACAGAGCATTGGCCTTACTTAAGGGGCATTCACACGGTACAACTAGTTGTATACAATCTGTTGCATGCAACACATTGCATCGTGTGAACGGGCAAGTCGGTCCAACTTTTGACGTATGCAACTTGGTGGATGCGAGTTGTACGAAATAGGACATGCTCTATTTTCATGCGACAAGTTGTTTGAACGCAGCCAATCAAAACGCGTATGAAAATCAGGTGACATTTACACGTCAATTTGTAAACAAAAATGGCGACTCCGATTCACGTCGGTAACTTCTGTTTTTCGGTATCCTAAGTGTCACCACACAATAAAGGACATATGAAAAGTAGGTACGTAGAATACCACTGTATTTGCATCGGTCTTATTCTCCAGGTTAAACTGTTCATGGTGTTATTTGAAACGACAGGCTATGTGACTGTACACTGTACTGTAGACCTAGATGAGATAAGGTCCACATTACGTTTCTAAAACTTAAAATACATCATACACACAAATACACGTCACAGTTTTAGATTCTATGGGAAAGTATCTATAATATGATGCCATTAACAACTAATTTAGCCAAAGCACATGTATCACTAACGACACCTGAAAATAGCATACAGCGAAAAAAATGCCATTTTCGCATTTTACCAATTCACTGTTCTAAATGTGATTATTTTTTCAAATAACGTATAGCTACATGATAAGTTCCATTACAAAACCATTGGGTGTCTGCCCTTTGTCAAAACACTAATCATCATTCCGAAAAGACTCCAATATCCCAATATTCGTTTTCGAAATATAAAAAGTCGGGACCGAACCTCCATGTTGGATAGTGTTGCAAAATCACGGTTCTTTTCGCGTCAAGCGAGATGCCTGTCACATCACATGTATTTCACACTCAGCTACCATACATACATCTCTGAATTCATCACACCATTAAGAATCAATTGACATTTTGTCTAAGTCACTAATACAAACGGTCCAAATGAAATCAACCGCAATATTCAAGTGTGAAACCAAACCCTGTGCTCTGAAACCTACCAGTGGGCCTACTCATTTAAAAATGTAAACAAAGCAAACTTCTAGTTTTACTTAACATTTTACTATTCCGAGAGATTCGGTCGACAATTTGTTGCACACATTTGCTCAGTTTATTACGAATATGCATGGGTCGATAATCGTTGCAAGAATTGAGGAACGAATAATTAGAGGCCAGATACTTAGGCCTATTTGGAAAAAATCAACAAAAATCGTTCAACGTGCCGCCATGATTGACGCAAAATGACACAGACTGACGACGGTCTGCCTTTCCACGTAGTATCAAGGCGAGAATGGAAACATAAAAACAAACAGAATTTAATGATTTCAGATTGATTCAGATTACTTAACTTACATGACTCATTTATGTATGTATGTGATCCCAGCACTACGGTAAAACCTACTCCAAACATTCCGCGTACTGCTATCAGTGAACTCGCTACGTTATGACGGGAGG